CCACACACACACACACACACACACATACACACAGTCTTTTTCTCTCTGTATCTGTCTTTTTTCATTCAAAAATACACTCTTTCTCCCTCCCTCCCGACAAGATAGAGATCTAGAACATAATCTAGATTAGATCAAGTCACCAGTTCACAAGTCTCAATCCCATATTATTTGCTCGACCAAGCACGCTGATGAAATCAATGCCTGAATGGGAAACGAAACGCCGAACGAAAGACCTTGACTTTTGGGAACACCGAACGGCCTTGACTTTGAAAATACGTGCCCATAACAATCCAGTGTTATGCGGCCGTACGCGTGCCTAACAACTTCCTTCTAATAATGTGTGAGCAACAGAAGACTTGACACCATATCCAGGAGGATGAGGAATTCAATGCAGCATATTTTTCTTAAATCCACATAATAACCTAACCAAGTCTCTAGCTCGTAAGACAAAGGGTAAAAGCAATATTCTTGACCAATGCCTTTTTCATTCACACACCAACTAGGGACCATGGTGTAGCAGCGTTTCGCCATTGCACGCACAAGACCTGAGTTCTACTCCCGTGTGTGCAGAACTTATCGAGTACCTCCGTCTTCCTGCTGGGACCTTTTATCCTTTTCAGCCAGTGTAGGATCCGACAAGCAGGGTCAAAGCCCACCTCTTAAATTATCTAAACTGTGTCCATCGGGGTGTTTAAAACACTTACAATTAAAATTCTATAATCAAATCAAATGTATTTTAGATAAAGAAAAATCTTCAAGAGAGAAGTCTTTTTTTGCTCATCACAGTTAAGACTGCCTTATGTGCTGTTTCACTGTAATGAGGAGTGTACCTGATCTGTAAACAATGAACTAACTGTGCTCAGGGCGAAAGGGGTATTCTACATACCTATAAAATTAAACTTATTCTGATAGCAGTTATACAACAGATAACAAATTTTCACTAAGTGAATCCTCAATTCATTTTACACCCAAAAAACATCCATAAAAATCAAGCTCGCATTCAAAGCTGGCAAAGTGCATAGAAGCATATCATTACCTACAGAACCTCATCAATTTGTCTCTAATCAATATGCAGTAAACTTACACACCTGTTGCATGCTTATGCTGAGTCCAAAGCCTTACTCATTCTCATTATAATATGTCTTTGCATAAGTACAATGCCCCTTTCAATACTCAGGGGGGTAGATTATTCAAGACACAGGATAAGCAAATTTAACTTCCAGCCTTGACAGGACCAAGCAAGAATGGGTGGAGACACTTAGTTTCCCAAAACAAGCCAAATTCAGAATGCCACATTGAGGATTTGAACCAGGGTCATCTGCAACACAGTCCAGCAGGATACCAAGTGAGCTACCCGTGCACCCCTTACTCAATTTTCTCAGATGTAGATGTTTCTCGTTATATTGAGCACAAGAGGCAAAGCCTACAGGGCACACAACCTTTGGTTTTGAACTGTGAATACAGGGGGGAAGTTTTCTTTGCATTCAAGTTCGAATAGTTTTCGTTTTTTCGTTTTTGTAAGAGTTTTACGGCGCTCGCAACTGCATAAGGTCATATGAGCGCCAGAAGATTAGAGGTGTTACAAGAGAGTAACAAATATAAAAAAGAAGAAGGGGAGATACAGACGGTAGAAGTCTCATAGAGGAAAGAAGAAGCAAACCACACCAGAGCACCCGCCAACCACCCACGAAAAGTTTTCTTTGTTTTTTGGGATTTTTTAAAAGTTTGGTATGAGTAAGAGTTATACAGCATTCGCAACACAAACATGTTAGGTTATGATCTACCTAACGAGGATTTAGTGTTATGAGAGTAACATATAAAATGAGGAGAGATGAGGACCATAGATGTTTCATAAGGGGAAAGAAGAAGCAAACCACACCAGAGCATCTACCAACCACCCACTTCAAATAAAAATATGAAATAGATCTTACAAAGACGGTAAACTTTGTAAAAGCTGACTTCCTGGCATTGGCACACTTTCACTGTCAGTTTCTTTGAAATACTTTTTTTATAGGTGTTGGTTTGTAGTATGTCGCCTAAGAACTATTTAGTCCAAAGTGTACTTAAGTAAAGAGGCACTTAGGACAAAATAGTTCAGAGGCGACCGGTAGTTAAAAGAATAAATAAATATGTGGAATTGTAGGCTCGAACAATTATGAAATCAAAGAAACCTGCCTTTTTCTTCTCGATGGGCAATCTTTATCAATTTTTTGTTTTGTTTTTGGATTGAACTCCTTTTAAGTCCATTTGTAAACAGAATTCTGAGTTGATTTTTCTGAAAATTATACATTTTCAGTTTCTAAGGACGCTCAAACTTTGGAGGTCAGTAATCTTTGGCCGTCATTTTTTTCTTTAATTTTACCCCTGATACCAGGTGACCCCCATCTCCTTCAATCACAAATATATCAACCTCAGCTCAAGACTGATATATATATGGTAACTTCTTTATCAAAAGCAAGATAGGATAAGATAAGTGAACACACCCAGTCGCCACAGAGTAGCACCCAACATATTCAAAAGGATGAATGAACAAAATTTACGATAACACCAATAACTCCATAAGCTCAAAAATTGA